CTACAATGCTGATCCAGCCCTCTAAGAAATCCAGTTTGACACCCCTGCCCTATACCATTTCTGAAAGATGGCAGTCCAGTCTCTTCTTGAAAGCTTCCAGTGATGAAGCTCCCACAACTTGCGAAAGCAAGCTATTCCATTGGTTGATTGTTCTCACTGTCAGAAAACTTCTCCTTATTTCTAAGTTGAATCTCTCCTTGACCAGTTTCTATCCATTATTCCTTTCTGGCCTTCAAGTGCTTTGGGAAATAGGTTGACCACCTTCTCTCTGTCTCCCTTAGTCATTCTCTTCACTAGACTAGCCATGCAAAGTTCCTGTAACTGTTCTTTATACATTTCAGCCTCTAGTCCCCTAATCATCTTTGTTGCTCTTCTCTGTACTCTTTCTAGAGTCTCGACATCTTTTTTGTAGCGTGGTGACCAAAACTGGATGCAGTTTTCTAGTGTAGTCTTACTAAGGCTTTATAGAGTGGTATTAGTTCAGGAGGGCTGTAAAAGCACTATGAAGCAGTATATAAGTCTAAGTGCTATTGCTATTAAGTATTCAGTTGTTAAGTGAATCTGGCTTCTCGCATTGACTTTGCTTGTCAAAAGGTCACAAAATGAAATCACATGACTCTGGGACATTGTAACCATCATAAATGTGAGTCAGCTGTCAAGCATCACATCATCACAGGGCTGCTATAAAGTTTGTAAGTATGAAAAATGCTAATAAGTCACTCAGTGCTTTGAATGGTCACTAAATTAACTCTTGTAAGTCGAGGACTACCTGTATTCAAAAGTATGTCTTAATATTGTAAATACCCCCCTCCGAAATTAGACCAATTTTGCTCACTGAGAAAGAGATGTAAGGGGTCATACAATTCTTTTTTAAATAAATCTATATGAAATCTATGTGCCATGCACTTGATACAAAACCAAAAGCATCAATAGAGGCAATATACAGTATATTAAAACAGCCATGGTAAAACAAAGAAAATATCTATAGTGATTATTAAATTAATGGCTGTATTAATATCTTCAAGTTCAAACATTGTTGTTTAACGTTAACATAATGTTTAAGCATTTATCTATTGCTTTTGTTTCTTTAGTTTTCTATATGGGTCCTTTAAACCTTGTTATGAGATTTTTCAGAATAATTAAATAAATAAATATGTGGACAATGAAACAATTATTTTTGAATGATTAATCTAATCATTCAAAAATAATTTAATCTAATCTACAATCCTGAGATTTTCTGGTTGTCTCCCATTCAAGGGGCGACCCCATCCAATCCTGCTTAGCCAAGGTTGGCTAGATGCAGCTGTTCACACTCTTATGTCTATGGTGAAATTCAGCCGGTTCTATCTGGTTCGAACGAACCAGGAGCACTGGTGGAGGGAGGCTCCACCACCCACCCGGACGTCAACATGTCCTGTTTTTGACACTCTGCACATGCACAGAAGTGGTATGTGTGAGCTAAGTGAGCACACACGCTTACATTTGCGAACTGGTAACGAAGTTAAGTCAAACCTAATTCAACATCAGAGACTTCACACTGGAAACACACCCTATCAATGCCCACAATGTGAGAAACGATTTGTGGAGTGTTCCGGACTTTGGAGACACCAGAAGAAGCACACAGGAGAGAGGCCATATACATGTGGGAAGTGTGGGAAAGGTTTTCTCACAGCAACACTGCTTTGGGTTCATCAGAGAATCCACATGGAGGAGAAGATGTGTGGAGTGTGGGAAATGTTTTTCCCCAAAACACCATCTTGGAAGTCATCAAAAGGTCCATGCACAAGTGAAGCCATAGAGATGCACCGTGTGTGGTAATGTTTTGCTCAAAATGAAGAGATCAGAAAAATGAACAGAATAGAATAGAATAACAGAGTTGGAAGGGGCCTTGGAGGTCTTCTAGTTCAACCTCCTGCCAAGGCAGGAAGCCCTATACTATTTCAGACAAATGGTTATCCAACATCTCCCTAAAAACTTCCAATGTTTGAGCATTCACAACTTCTGGAGGCAAATTGCTCCACTGATTAATTGTTCTCACTGTCAGGAAATTTCTCCTCAG